AAAGATTTTCCTCAGCTGACTGATACTGAGTGGCCACGTGATTTAGCATTCTGGGTGGATACGACTGGTCTTCTTAAACAACTGAATTTGAAGTTTCAGTGCCACAAGAATTTTGCTTTGACTACTTTGATAGTGTTAAGTCCTCTGAAAGAAAATTTAAACCATTGCAGAAGCAACTGATGAAAAGCAAATGTTGCACTTTTTACAGTATACAAAGTGCTTTTGGGTGAAAAAACCCAGGGCACTGCAAGTTCTGTGTTCTGGAAAATATTTCCAAACTATTCAGTGGTTGTTGACAGAATTCAGCTGGCAATTCTTGGATTTTAAATCTCACAAGCAAGCACTGACTTTTTCCAAAAACCATTTACACAGGAGCCATAAAGTGCTCTTATAGATATGCAGTTAGAACTGACAGACTTACAAGAACATGTATAAGCAAAGGCATCTGACTGCAAACTTAGCTTTGTTGAAGTTTACAAAGGACTTTCCCCTGAAATTTACCCTAGAATATGTAAATCTGGATAATACCTGGCTTCTCTATTCAGAAGCATGTACATCTGTTAGAAAGTCTTTTTACAACAAATATAGACAAGTTTAAATTACAATCCAGGCTGACAAGTTATCATCTTCATGTGGTTCTCCATTTTGAAATGCCAAGCACTGAACCAAGATTGCAACACATAGTATCTGTGAAGACAGATACATAAAGTCTCAATCAAAAAAACAGGTACAGGATTTTTTCACCTTGTTGGGTTATAATGTATTTATATATCCTGAAAACTGACCTTTTATATCCACTCTTTGCTTTCCCTTTTTAAGCCAATTTCTAATCCAGAAGTGGACATTCCCTGTAATCCCATGACTAGCTAACTTTGTTAACAGCCTCCAAAGGGGAACCTTGTCCAATGCTTTTTGGAAATCCAAATACAAGAATATACCCAATCCACCTGCTTACTGACACATTCAAAGAACTTTAGTAGGCTGGTGAGGCCTTTGGCAAAATCAAACCAAACCAAACCATGTTGATTTCTCCCCGGCAAGTTACATTTATCTATGTGCTGAACAACTCTTTTCATTATTGTTTTTCAGCATCATCACTGGCAATCCCTCATAGTTGAGGATGATTGCCTTTCATGATTGCTTTAATCTGGGGGTCCAAAAATGCCTGACAAGGCCAATCCAGGATCAACAGACTGCATATATCCACATGTGTATTAAGATCTGGGAGAAGTTTACTCATGAGTAAGCTACTCATGAGGAAATGCTCCCAGGCAGGCGCCACACATGCAGGGAAGTGGGAGCAGATTTGCTGCTAATGTTAGCAAACTGCTCCCACTTCCTGTGGATCTGAAATGGGCCCAGACAGCTGTCTCCTGGCTGGGGCTAGGACACTGCTGCCTGATGCCAGAACAGAGACAATGTGCCCCTGCCCTGGCAGCAGGAAGCTCCGGCTCCCCGATTGGGGCAGGAGACTTGGAAAGAGCTGCAGGGGAGGGACAGGTCCCAGCCCCCTGCCCCAATCCACAGCTAGCAGAGAGCCCCTGGCTGGGCAGGGATTTCCCACCCAGCTGAGGGCTCACTATTAGCTGTTCCACCAGCAAATGGGGCAGGGGGCTGGGACCTGCCCCTCTGCTACAGCTCTTTCCAAACCCCGCACCTCAATCACCCGATCGAGGCATGGGGCTGGGACCTACCCTGACTGGTCAGTTCCCAGCCCTCACTCCATGATTGTGGGGCAGGAGCTAGAGAGCCTGTTCCCTGCTTAGCTCCGTGATCATGGAGCTGAGTGGGGAATAGGCTCCCCAGTACCCGCCAGCAGGGAGCTCCCAGAGCCAGCTCCACAAACAGGGAGCTGGCGCTGAGAGATAAGGATCTCCCAGCCCTCCACACTCTGATCCTGATGGTGAAGCAGGGGCTGGGAGTTTAGGATCACCCAACCCCCGTGCTCCCTGATCACAATCTTGAAACGGTGGGGCTTGGAGTTCCCTGCTGCCAGGACAGGGGTACATAGTCCCCATCCAGGCTCTGGTGGTAGAGCCTGTCCCAGCAGCAGACAGTTCCCAGGGGCAGGGATCAATCACCTGCCCCCTGATGGCTGGCTGACTGGGAGCACATTTGCTCCAGGTCAGGCATCCAACACAAGTGCTACTGTGCTGTAACTAATCACAAGTAAATCTGCTACTTGCATTTGCAGGTAGGAAATTTACTTGCAATTAATGAAGTTACCACACAGTAAATGTGCGCATGTGCAGACACACGCTTATTCCACAGTAAACTGTGCTACTGCACAGTAAAGAGATTCATGTAGATGAACCCTTTCTGTTGCAACTTGGGCATGCATTTCAGTATAGGGTGGGTGGCTCTGGATTCTCGATTTGGTCTGCGACATGCTGTTTCTTCCGCTCCTGCTTTTCCGAATGCTGTTGTTGTCATAAGGTTTCAAGGTACTGAGAGATCTTTGCAGCAGACACTTCCTCCATCTGGGGCCGTCCTGAGTGACTGTCTCCCATAAGTTGATGTCAATGTTACATGTTTTCTAGTTGACCTCGAGGACAGTCTTGAAGGCCTTTCTCTGTCCTCCTCTTAGGCATGCACCTCGACTGAGCTGGGAGAATAAAACGTGCTTTGGGAATCTGGAGTCAGACATCCAAATGACACAGTTAGCCCAGTAAAGTTTGTTGGATGATCATTACCTTGATGCTAATGGTGTTTGCTTGCGAGAGGATGCAAATGTTAGTGCGTCTGTCTTTCTGCTGGATTTGAAGGATTTTCCAGACATAATTGATGGTACCTCTAAAGCAGTAGTCACCAACTGGTTGATCGGGGAGCCTGTGACAGTCTCTCTCAGTCTGGGGGGACTCAGCCCTCCAAACTGAGATCGATTCTCAGAGGCTCTGCAATCGGGAGAGGTGGGACACACATGGGGAATGGCGGGATGCACTTGGCTGGGCTGAGCCATGCCCCCTGCCCACTGGGGCTGGGCTGGGGGAGTGGGCTAAACCCCTCCATGCCCCGCTGCCACTGAGTGGGACCCTGGCCAGGCTGGGTCAGGGGAAGGTTGGAGCCCGGCGGCTCATCCAGGTGTGTGGGGGGGCTCTTGCCACTGCGCACACCCCAGCAGAGGCCCAGGGGGCACATGCCCCCCTGATCTGTGCACAGGGTGAGGTGGCTACCCCGGGATCCTCATCAGCAGGGAAGTAAAAACCACAGTTTTAAACTCTGCGCCCATTTTTGGCACCAAGGTTGAAACTGTGGCTTTCACATTTGCTTCCCGGGAGCTGGAAGTGGGGCCCCTCCACCAAGTGGGGCTGGGGTCAGGCCAGGAGAGCCACGCCACACCTGGGGGAGGGAGGCAGGCCAAGTGGCGCTGTGGCTGGGGGGAAGGGGGGCAAGCCAGGTTGGAATAGCCGTGCCCCACCTGGTAGTTCGCACTTTTAATGCATTGTTGGATTTCTTTGTCCATGTCAGCCTTTTGCGAGAGGCCTTCTGAGGTACAGGAAATACTCAACGTTCTCCAGAGTTGCTCCGTAAATCTGAATTATTGAAGCTGGAGACTGCACATTAAGAGCTTGTTGATGGAGGATATTAGTCTTCTGAATGTTAAGCATAGGTCCCATTTTCTTGGATGCCTTAGTAAAGATGTTGACATCTCACTGAAGGTCTAATTTTGAGTAAGCACACACTACTTATTGTTTTTACAAGTTTTCCAGGAACAGAAGTTAGACTCACTGGCCTGCAGTTCCTTGCTTTCCTCTCTAGCCTTTTTTAAATATGGGGGCCACAACCAAACTGCCTTGTCAAAGCTGAACACCCTAAACCCAAACTGTGAGGATCCTGTGTTTGGACCCATATGTGAGGGCCCTGGCACAAAGCTAGTCTTGCCTGGTCAAGAACAGAGCCCTATATTAATATATCTGCTTGAAGGCTTTGGCAAACTAACTACAGACATAATGAAAGGGCCCTTGCTCCCTCAGTGGTAGCAAAGAAGCACAATCAGGCAGGGGTATACTCTGTTTGAGTAGGGCAGCTGATGAATGAGGGACTTCACATGCCCTTCTCCCAGAAATTTCTGAGAAGTGTTCAACATGATGCCCCCAGAGAGTGATCTCCTATAAGCAGAAATATACAGAGACCTTCTAAAAAGAACCACATCATCTGTACAATTACAAATTGTAGAATCATTAACATAACAAGCTATCTAACCAATTCGGAAAATTACTATCTGATCATTACTGTGAAGGCATCTGAATTACTCTGCCCATGTCCACTAGGAATAAACAACTGCAACAAGCTTGCCCCATCAAGAACTGCATTTTTAACACACTAATTCAAGAAACATTGGAAGAATTCTGTTGAAACAAATTTGTTTATGAGCTGAAACTAACAGAACCCACCCCAACCAGTATTACCAGATAACTACTGTATTTGTACAGAAAATCTGACCTTTGTCCAATGAACAGCAAAACATTTCATTGGCTAAAATGTATAATCATTTAAGAAAATCCAGTGCTCAAAAACTTTCATGTTTAATCAATTTTGCATATTAGTGAATTTTAAATTTGTCATGCCTCATATGAGCAGACTCACTGAAAAGTGTGTTATGAATGTAATTGTGCTTGCAAAAGTACTTAAACATGCAGCAGAGGACAGCAATTCTAGATGAATATTTGATGGAGGTATTCAAGTTCAAAAACTTCTTGGTGAGTGCTATAGTCAAAACATTTGCTACTTAACGCAAATACGACTACATATTAAGAATGAAAAAGATGGATTTGCACGTACAATCATTTTTAAGTAAGATAACCCAGGTTCCAATACATTTCCATTTTTCCAAATCTGGCAACAATGATTCTCACTCATCAGAATATGCCTACTCTTTCTATCTTGCAAATGCATTCTAAGGAGTACAGGAGGGTACTTTGCTAATAGTTATGCATACATAGATCTGTGTCATTTGAATTAATACACTATATTTAACTGCTACAAAAATATGTACCTACCTGCTTTCCATCCACTTCAATATCTGCTACATAATTTTCAAACACTGTAGGAACATAAACTTCAGGGAACTGGTCTTTGCTAAATACAATCAGCAGACAGGTCTTTCCACAGGCTCCATCACCGACTATAACCAGCTTTTTTCGAATGGCTGCCATTACTGGAAAAAACAAAAAACTGGGATTAAATATTTCTGTTCACTATAAATTATTTCAGAGAGATGTTATCAACTGCCAATCATTATGCTCCCAGCAAGAACTTTGCTCTTGGCCACACTTCATTACAGCTGCTGAACACGCATGGGGATCAGCTTTGACCAAGTCACCACTTTTCCAAGGACACTTTTCCAAGAAGTGTCCTTAAGAACACATTGTGTTCATGTGGCAAAGAACAATGTAGACTGGGGAAGGGGAAAACAGACCAAGATGTAAAACAGCTATCAAGCATACAAGTAAAAGCACAACAGAGCACAAATTAACACATTTTGAACTTGAAAAGTGACTAGAAAATTGAGGGGGGGAAAAAAGTGCTGAAAGCTTGCTGTATATGGATGTGAAAGAACATATATAACTATAATTTGTATGGGAAACAGGGTAAAAAGGTAGAGAGAAGACACCAATAGTTTGAGGTAGTAACAGACTTAGTATTTCTTTGCGTGTCTTGTATACTGAGGTGGAAACTGCAGAAAAGTTACCAAGTGAACAAGTCGCAGACAAGGTTCTTTGGGTGAATCTGATATCTTTTATTAGACCAACTTAAATAGTTGGAAAACAATTATTAAGCAAGCTTTTGGGTTCCAAAACCCTTCGTCAGGCTAAGAAAGTTTCTGCAGTTGGTGTGTGCTCCACCATCTGCACACACCAACTGCAGAAACTTCCTTAGCCTGACGAAGGGTTTTGGAACCCAAAAGCTTGCTTAATAATTGTTTTCCAACTATTTAAGTTGGTCTAATAAAAGATATCAGATTCACCCAAAGAACCTTGTCTGCCTATGTCCTTAGACCAACACAGCTACAACCTACACACAAGTGAACAAGTAGTATCCTAAATCTTCATTTCAACTCTGGTATCTTTCCCTGAGAGTTCCTCCAAAGAAACAGGCAGCTAAACTGATGACCAGAGATGTATTCCTGCATGCTAAACTATTAAAAGGTATTATAAAGGTATAAAGATGTCAGAGGCTTTCCACTTCTTCCTGATACTCAAACTTCAGAGGAAGAAGAGGATTTTAAGAAAACGGAATAAGAAAGTGCTACTGTAATGAACTAAGAAGTACTGTATTCACATACAGTACTACTAATGTAAAGTTCACAAGGCTACCATAATGCTCCTGAAGCAGTACACTCCAAGCGCATTTCATGAGCTCTTGAAAGGCATCATCTTTCCACTGAAACCTGATAAATTGGATGCCAGCCCCTCATAAAAATCTGTCACCCGCTCAGGGATCCCTTGTATTGAAGAAGCCTGAAGTGAAGTCAGTTCTCAGAGATTCAAAAAGCAGTGAAACCAAAAGAGAAGCCAGCTGCAAAACACAAAGCAGAAGAGAGCTCAAAGCCAAAACATTACTTCACTGGAAAATGGTCATTACAGCTACCACTGTTAGCCACACTCAAGGTGGACCCTGAAGACATCTGAAAGGAGAGAGAAATCAATATAGCCACCAGTGAACTAGGATTTTAAATTACATGCCATAGTGTTTAATGAAATGCTAGGAAAGAAGTCATGGGAACTGGGATTTCTTTCATTTGCTTGTTCCAATACGTTTTAGAACAAAAAAAAAAAAAGAGTCATTTGAGAGAAGCAACATCTGTTTACACTCAGATGTATGCAGTTTATTTTGTTGAGGCAACCAAATTCAGAACTCAGGAGGAAGACCTGGAACTTGCCAGCTGTGATCAGGAGGAATAGAAATAACGAACTCAAATGTCCAAACCAACAGGTAAGCAGGATTAGGAAAATAAAAGAGAGGGCTCTCAGACTTCAAAGGACAGAGGATTTTAGGTAAAGAAAGCAATACTGGTGATGTGACTGCAGAAGCTCCTGTACATTTGGCCAGTGCAACTGGCTACTGCTTTTACTGGATCTGAGCACAATGAAGAAACATTTTTAAGAGGTAAATTTTATTAGGAAACTGATATTTTTAAAAGAAAAATGTATTCTACTTGTTAGGACTATAGTCAATACAAAATAAATGTAATCCGCTCATGATGGACTGCACCCAAGTGATCACTCATTTTTAATCTCAGTAATCCATTTCTTCTGGTGAATTAGAAGATAAAGAGCACAGAATTAATTAACTTGGATAATATTAAAACTTCTCAGGTTGTTTTTCTATTGGGAGCATAAAATATCCAGTATGTTTGACTGAGTGCATTTCCCCATGGTAATAATGTTCTTTCTATAAAGAAACTCAAGAACCAGGGTGGATAAAAAACATTATTTAAAAATAAATAACAACAACAACAACATCACAAATTTAAAATTGGATTTTTTATTGAATTTAATACAGCCTAGGCTAAGGTATAATCTAATATAATCTATTATAATAATTTAAATAAAATATATGTTGAGACAATGAGGCTCTACTAAAAACTCTGGAAGTAAGGTCGTTTTTCTTCTATAGTAGAATAAGGGGGAAAATATCTAACTCTGGAGGTCAAACTTTAAAAATATGACACAATGTTTCATGTGTTAGGAATGATGGATGTTCCACTCCAACTGTACAAGGGGATGCACGGTCTGTACTACAGGATGCAGATGATCAGCAAAGTCATCACAGGCACTGGAACCTGGCCTCTGACTCAAAAAGACACCATCATGTGTATGTATTCATTGATCAGGATTATTCAGAGCCCACTAAAAAACGCCTGTTTTAGACTCATCCTTCATTAGGTAGTAAAGAAAGGTGTATTTTCTTTGGTTGATAGAACAATTAAAGAAAGAGAAAGAAATCAATTATTTAAATCAATCTGAAATAGGTAACTTAAATGTATAGACCAACAAGTAAGGAGGAATGGGAAAAAGGAAAGAGCAGGTTTCAGGTTTGCTTCATTATTTTCTAAGTTTCTTCTCGTTTTGCTGCATTTACAGCATCATCTGTGACAAGGATACACACAGTTCATACTTCTAATACTTTAACAGTTAATATTAGTGTTTAATAAATTAGTTAGTTGTAAGTGTGCAGTTTTGTTTTTAAAAAAAGTTCCTGTATCCAAAACATTAAAGTTTTGTTTAATAAATATGAAGTGCTTGTTTGTGCATTTAATTACTTTTAAGTTGCTATCTTAACTCAGACCAATACAAATATGAGCTAAAAGTTAATCTAGGTGAATAAGAAATATAGTCTACTAAAATGTAGAATTTCTAACAATCTAAGTATGTTACGCTATACAGTCGTTACACACACACACACACACACACACACACACACACACACACACACACACACACACACACACACACACACAATCCAGTTTTTGTACCTAGGAAACACATGCACCAAAATCTACTACTAAAACTGTATTTAGTTGTAAATTAACATGTTAATTAATTAACATGTTATATTGGGCTTCTGGCTTGTTTATTTAAATCATTATTTAAATCAGTCGTTTAAAATAGACTTGATTTAAATCAATCCACCTTGCAAGGAGCTGTTCATTCTCTTCTCAAATCTGATGGCTTCAGGTAGTAAATAAATCATTAGATTTACCAGTTTCTCATGAACCACACCTGTCCGTCTCTCCCTTTGCTCTTTGTGTCCTTCCTAAAAAGGGCCGCGTGAATTTAATGTAATATTCCAGTCATATTTTCCTACCAGGTTTCAGGAATATGAACTAGGTCAAATTTCTCATAAATGAGCGTTTCTAATGTTGCTTGTCAATTACACAGTCTCTCAATATTGGTCTAAAAGGCAATTAGAAATATTATGTATTTTATATAAAACTTCATTCATTCATTCATTCATTCATTCCTGATACTATGCATAATGTACATTTGAACCTGCATGTTTACCCTCTTGATAAGTGTCCACCTGTTAATTTAATGGCCTCCTTATTACTCTTTTTAGCCAAACAGGGTAACAGAATAAATGATGTGTGATCTGCCTCAGGGTTAACTCAAAATAGGATGCAAAGGTCTTAATAACTTATTTAACATTTCTCCAAAAATACTTGTCTTCAGAAAAAAAAATTGATCTATTTCCTTCTGTTGTCTTCCAAGGCTACATTACTACAGTAAACTCTCTGGTAACCGGCAACTTACAAGCCGGCATGCTCAATTTAACTGGCATGCCAGCCTGTAAGATAAAGTGAAACTGGAAGTGCCCACCGTGGCACTTCCGGTTTCTCTGAGCCCCCATGACCCAGGGCAAAGCAGCCTGCATTGCCGAGCCCCCATGGCCTGGGGGCATAACAGGCTGCACGGGGCTGTGCAGGGCTCGCATCCCTGTCCCGCAGGGCCCACAGGGCCCATGGGAGGGGCGGCAGTGTGGCAGGCGGGGCGGAGGGACGCAGCGGCAGAAGCAGCAGCCAGGGCCGCTCAATTAACCGGCATATTTTATTATCCAGCATCCCCCATTCCCGGGGGATGCTGGATAACAGAGCTTTTACTGTACTAGGATAAAGTGTAGAAAATGCAACAGCTGACATTTTAGAACCCTAAAGGAGATGAGGCGCATTGTAGTTTTAACATGTTAGCTCAAAGGTGAACCCTAACAAAGAGCCTAAGCATCACTGTAACCAACTAATATGTTAAAACAGCTTGCCCTATCTATATTACAGTACAGAACAGAGTATTAACTTACTTTAGTCATTTAGATGCCCAAAAAGAACCATCTTAGTTCTCCCATAGACCCTGTATACCTTTATTTTATTAAACACTTCTCTTTTGCCCTGTGGGAACTTAAGGATCTCAGATATTTCAGCTTTGGAGCTTGTTGGAGAATCACAGCTCATTAGGGTATTAATACAAAGGGACTGGATAGAGAACTGAACAGTAAGCTATATCTTTCTCTGCATCAGGATAGCTTATTGAAGCAGAGCTGTCTGTCTGCTGCTTGGAACTTCAGATTGTACTTGTCATCCACAACAAGAGGTAAAGTCCCTTTCAGGAGCAGAACTGGATGCATGCCTTGAACTGGGGCCACAGAGAACCAGTGCGGGTG